CAGCGAGTCCTTCACTTATGTGCTTAGGAACATCATCCATGTCCCTCAACCTCCTTGGGAGCTCGTGCCTTAGGGCAGAAGCCACAGTAGGGCATGGGACTGTCAGTTACCGTGAACCTAATTCCTCACATGCGCAGGGTTTGGGAAGCAATGCTGAGCAGTGGAATGGATGGGGTCTTAAGAGATCCGGGGCCACACTCGGCTGCGCCATGTGACCTTGGGTGAAGTGACCTCCCTGAGCCTCAGCCTCACCAACTGAACTTTTCAAGGTGCTCGTGAGGAAGAAGGGAAATGTGCTCAGCACTGCATTTGGCACGTCACTGGTGCTTGGTGAAGTCGGGCCCCTTCCTTCCCAACACTTCTAGAGCCGCAGAACTGCACTGAGGTTTCCCACAGATATGGTGTGTTCTGTAGCTTGTGTTTCTGCTCCCAAGGATCCCGCCCTTCTTCTCGTAGACTTCCACTTCAGTGTGACATGGATTACTGTTCCCACTAATAGGCCTCTCTGGGGAAGCCAACAACGACTTGGTTCCCTGCCTTGGGCCGAGTTAAACAGACTCACTTGGTAGGCACAGACCATCCTATAAACTGGGAAAGTGATGACCACACCGTTCTTCAATATCACGGAACGGCCATGAATATAAATGAAATCAGATTACGTTGGACCATATGAAATCACCCTTTTGTAGGTCAAATATGGTTCAGCATCTGTAGTTTCGTGCTTCAGCCTCACGGTTCCCTGGGTCTCTTAATCTAATCGTAGATGGTCACTAGTAAACGTCATTTACAAATGTCCATAGTAAAGGATGTTAAGCAGCTCTTTGGCCAGCAGGGAAGGCTTGGATTAGATGAGACAATGATATAAAAGTGCTTTATAGACCATGAAGACTAGGTAATGGAAATTGTTTTTGGAATTAATCGTGGACATGGAATATTTTAACCCAGGGGCTCTTAAACTTTTACAAAATTAGATAAATTCCACTGAGTGCATTTCTAACGTGATTTCACAAAAGAAAAGTCTGTTTTCAGTGTGTGATTTGTTGATTGTGCTGGATATATTCAGCTGGAGTTCAGGCTTGGCCCTCCCTAAAAAAAGGGTGTCTTTGAAGGCCAAAGTCCCGGTAAGAGATTGCTTGATATTAAACTTACTGTGTTTGTGTTGAGGGGGTAGGGGGCTGCCAAGGTGGGGGCCGAGAGGAATGACCGTCACATACAGAATAAACTAGAGCTTGTGAGAGCTTCGTTTCTTTGGATAGCTGACACAGCCTGGCCCCAGGAGGGTGAATATTTTCTTTGTTTTCAGCTGTTAATCCATTTTGTGAAAATTCAGCCAAACGTTAGACAAATGTGCAAAATGTGCTCCATTCCTCCCAGCAACCCAGGGTTAGTTCTGAGCCACTCTCCAACAACAGCTCCTCTGGGACCTGGATGTGAAGGGCAGAAATGGCAAGAACGTTTGCCTGTTTCCCATCTCACCACCACAGAAGTGAGTACTCTTCATTCAACTCTCATATGGTCAGGGTCCCAGGGCGATCATTTCTATCTGGCTTTTGGGAAAGTGACTTAGCTCCCGTTTAGTCCACAGATTGAGGGTGTCATTCAACTTGTAGTCCCCAAACAAAGCTAATCTCTCTTAGTAGAAGACATCTGGGACATGAACAGACTCCGAAACCAATAACCACCTCGACTTTTGGCATAAACCAAGACTTAGTAACCTCGGTGTGCCTGTGTCCTATGGACAAGTTCCTTTATTTCGGTCCCGTGTGCATTTTCCTAACAGGCTGAGTTCGGTTCATCTGAAGCAGCCTCTAAATGGTTTATTTACGTACGGGTTCTCCGTCCTTCAAGATGAAACCAAATTGTTTGTGTGGCAAAGAGGGAAATCTGGGGCTTGTTAATGAGGCAGAAGGCCAGGTTCGGTGGCGGAGTGAGGCAGCCAGAAGAACAGGGTTTAGCTATCCACATTTATGGGGACTCATCAAATCACCAACAAGGAGGGGCCTCATCTGCGCCAAGCAGGGAGGTTCATCTTGCTGTGGAAGATCGCTCCTAACAGCAGCTGCGCCTTCCCTGCCAGCAGCAGCCGTTGGTGGGAAGACTGCCTGGTTTATTGCTTAATCTATCACTGTTGAGCTGCCTGCCTCAGGGAGGCTCAATTTAAGATAGATTGAAAGGTAGTGTCTGTCAATTGAATAAACACAGATGGTTTTCCACAGCAAAAATTGATTTTTTTTTTCCTTGCCAAAGACATAAGCGCTAAACGTGATTATCTTTGGAAGCCAGGCGTGAAATGTCTTAGCTCCAGCCCCTGCCACGCTCTGCCCTAACAGGGAGGTGATCTCACATGGGGCATGGGGTGTCTCTCACCGTAATTTTAGGTTCCTGAGGTGGAATAAGAAGTTGACTTCCCTAGAGAAAGGCCAAGCTAAGTCCATCCCAATAAGAAGGTTTAAACCCATCCATCAGTTGATTCACAGAACAGTTTTACCAGTCCTGGGTCACTGGCTGGCAGTGGCCTTCTCCAATCCTTTCATTTAGGAGTCACAAAGAGGTGCTAAGATTTGCCTCAGGACACACAGCTAGACCTAGGCTTCGATCCCCTCACTGTTTGTCCAGAAGCTACGGAGGAGACTGACACAGTCTACGCCGCGATGTTACCTGAAGGAGTCATTAAGATGAGTCCCACTGCCCAAATGTCTTTGAAAGCAGGTAGATCAGAGGTGCTTGAACAAGTCACACTAAGTACCCAGAATGCTAGACACTGTAGCCCCTAACTAGATATGAAGTCACTTACACTCAAGAGTCTTGAAGAAATCCAAGGGTAAAACTGTGGAGTAGGAGTTCGAGGTAACAGGTGCAGGGAGGTTGGAGGTGAGCACGGAAAAGTACCCTTTGTATAAAGAGGAGATTGAGCAATATGTTTTCTTATGTGTCTTTCAGCTTTAATTCCAAAACATAATAAGCTAATGGGGCATTATTCATGTGGATTATTCCAGTGAGCCCCTGGAAGTGATAGAATCGTCCCTCTTCTTCCATTCCACTACTGTGACCGTGACTGTAGACTGTCCGTTGGAGGATTTCCCAAGAGGAGTTGTTACAAAGGTAGCAGAAGTGGGACAGCTGTGAGCAGGTGGGCTGTATAAACGCTTTAGAGACAGAACTAGAAACAATGACAAGGCTCAGAGGAATTTAGCAGTAGAGGGACCCTAGTCCTGTCCTCTCATTCTAGAGATGAAAAAAAAAAAATGAGTCTAGAGAAGGGAAGTTGATAGCTAAGCTCACAGCTAGAGACAGAGTTGGGATTTCCAGTTAAAAATCTTGGTTCTTTCAGCTTCACTACCTGTCTTGCTTTTCAGACTGTCCCATGTCATCGTGGACTCCCAGGAAAGCAGTTGGGCACGGTACAGAAGTGCATGCAGCAGGGAGAAGCGAAGAGGTCTCACTCCAGCTAATACAACTGTAAACACGCATCTTTACAACCGTCTTCATCCTAACTTCTAAAGCTCTGTAGACAGAGAGCCCTTCCTTGTATCAAGAGATGAAAGGCCACGTGGAAAAAAGAGAGCTGACAGTTCCTTCTCACTTGGACAGAGAAAACCAGAACTAAAACCGTCTTTGGATGTAAGGGATACACATTAGGGCACGTTTGCAGAATTTGGATTTATCCGAAAGTGGCTTAACATGTTTGCAGTCTCTCAGAATTGGCCTATCCTAGAGTCAAGAAAAACTTGATTCAGGGTTTCTAAAGTAAGAGAAGTCAAATTCCTTTATTGAGAAAAATAAAAAGATTTCAGTCCAGTATTTTTCTGCACTTGGCTATCTCATAAATCCTCCTCTTCAGAAACTTAATGTATCTGTAGCTGTTTTACAGTCAGTTCCTGAAGCTAAGCCCTCTGTAAATTACTTCTACATATTCAAACAGAAATACATATTACTGAAATTTTATTCATTTCCTCCCACAGACTTTAGGTAAACATATGTTAAATGTAAACATGTTTCTGTTTCCACTCAGATGTGATCTGGTTTTTGTTTGTTTGTTTTTTTTCATATGAAATTACTGCTTTAACGTAGCAGACAAGAACAGCCAAATCTAAGTAAATACACTTGGCTGAAAACCTGTATACCAAAAATAAATACTATACTTTATGTACTTATAAGTGATGAATTGAGAACACAATCAGTTCTTCCCAAAAGAATTTCTCTTCTGTGGTAGAGCTAACTGTACCATGGATGGCTGAAATGGGGTAACACCAAAAAGGATCTCCGCCGAGTTAGAGGTCAGAGTGTGAGCTAATCAATCCACAGGCTCGCATGGATCTTGGTATATGTGTCTATGTGTTTGGTCGTGTTTTTGCCTTAAAATGACGTGTTGAGTGTTTCTCCTGTGTCCCCAGTAACGTCTTTTAAAAACAATCAAGACTCAAGGATTTGTTTTAGACTGACTTCCGGTGTTATCAGTTTGAGAATGGTCCCTCATACATGGGACTTTGTCATAGGGTTGGCTTTCGTGTTTTGAGTGTAAAAACCAGTTTCTTGGTTTGTGATTATAAGTATTCCTAAAAAATGACTCAGATCATATTTTTAAAGTGCTAGTTTCTGCTTAAAGAAATAACAAGGTAGAGTCTTTCACAAAGTGGACATCTAATGTATGATTTTTCTGCTTTATAAATCTGGTTGTTCATATAGTTTCTGTGACTTAATTGGCCATCCTTGTATATCAGCGCTTGGTGCTTAAAATGATAATTTCTTATTTGTTCCCTTTTCTAAAAAGGGGGAAATTGGCTCTACATCAGAAGAAGCATTCACAAGTTGAAATGGAAAACGTAAGCCTTGATGGGCCTTTCAAACATAAGAGCAATCCATTTGGGCTTCTCTGCAACCTGCCTACACACTCATAGCCTTCCAAGGGGTCGTTGGAGGGTATACAACAGATGTGAGGGTTCTTTACTAGCCAGAAAGTAAAACCAGGGACCCCCTAGGGCGACAGGGTCAAGGTCCCCCTAGACATACCCTTCATGACAGATGTTTCCATTGATGAGGCTGAAGGTGGCCACAGAGGGGTTGGTACTCTTGAAGGAGGTCATGCAGGTCGTGCTTCTGCCGGTGCTGTGAGAGCGGGTCATCAGGCCAGGCCGACAACAGAGGAGCTGGGTGTTGAATTGTTTCCTGAAACTCTTGCTCAGCAGGTAGAGGGCAAATGGGTTCACGCAGGAGTTGGTGAAGGCCAGGAGGCGGGCACAGATGCTGGTGATGAAGTGGAGCATGGAGGTGTCCACCTCGGAGTAGTGGTAGGAGCGGTACAGGTAGATGATGTGGTTGGGGAGCCAGCAGAAGGCAAAGAGGCCCACGAACACCAGCACCGTCTTGGCAAGGCGTTTCCGGGATTCAATCTAAGGAGAGAGTCACACACACAGAGACAGAGGGACCAAGGGACAGTGTAGGATGAATGCAGAGAGACAACGATTCAGACAGAGAAAAAGAAAACAGGGAGAAAGAATTGGGGGGAATAGATGAGCTCACAAAGCCACAGAAAAAGAGTTCAATGGGAGAAGGAGGACAAGAGAAAATCAAATAAAATGAGAGAACAACCGAAACAGATGGAAAAAAGGGGGGAAAGTCAGAAACACAGAAATGGAAAAGTCAGGAAGTAGAAATCCATGAAGTGGAATATAGTTAGAACGTGCCACTGAGAACAGATCTTTAAACAAAGTTGATTACATGCTTGAATGGATTGCACAATGAAATTTTGGTAAGTGACCTCTTTTTCCTCAGGAGAGCACTGGTGCAGTTTATCAGCCGTATGACTCCATGTCTTTCTTGGCTCCACAGTTAATAATTTCTTATTTCCTCTGTTGCTCAAAAAAACCCAGCCAGCTTTGTTCTTTCTCATTGGCCAAACCAAAATAACTTCCTATTACTATTTTTTTAATCTCAAGTTCTTTCTGGGCTAAACTATGCATGCAGGAAACTTCTTAGACACAGTGGGCTGAGGATCTCCTTCCACTTCCATCACCCTCTGCTACTACTGCAAAGGGAGATATCTTTCTCATTAAAGAATTTTAGGGGGCAGCCCGGGTGGCTCAGCAGTTTGGCATCACCTTCAGCCCAGGGCCTGATCCTGGAGACCCGGGATCGAGTCCCACGTCGGGCTCCTTGCATGGAGCCTGCTTCTCCCTCGGCCTGTGTCTCTGCCTCTCTCTCTCTCTCTCTCTCTCTCTCTCTCTCTCTCTCTGTGTGTCTCTCATGCAAAAATAATAAATAAAATCTTTATAAAAAAAGAATTTTAGGTACAATGGATGTTCACTATTGAGCGGTCTTTCAAATACAGAGACCGTTTCACTGAGAACTGCCCCTCTCTCCTCATAATTGAGGAAAGAAGAAAAAAACCAACCAACTTTTTTTTTTTTTTTTTTTTTTTTTTACCAACCAACTTTAAAGGGTGAAGCCACCCACTGAATCGGCTGTACATTTAAACGGATGGGGCATCTTTCTGCTTTTTCCATCATAAATACCACAGGATCTACATTTAGGCTAGAAAGCAAGAACTGACAAAATTGAGAAAGTTGCAGCCCCTGGTTTCTGCTATTCATATTTCAAGTTTGAAATTATGCAGGGGGGCAGCCCCGGTGGCGCAGCGGTTTAGCGCCGCCTGCAGCCCGGGGTGTGATCCTGGAGACCCAGGATCGGGTTCCATGTCGGGCTCCCTGCGTGGGGCCTGCTTCTCCCTCTGCCTGTGTCTCTGCCTCTCTCTCTGTCTCTCATGAATAAATAAATAAAATAAAATCTTTTAAAAAAAAAGAAATTTTGCAGGGTTATAGGGGATGGGGAAGGGAGTCTAATGCATTTGGAGGGCATTCTGCATAATGGGCACTCTAGGTCACGTATGTGCTCTGGCTTTTAACCTTACAACAGCCTTACAATATAGGGGGCGATCACCCTATATCATGGGTACGGGAACTGAGGCTCAGAAAGAGTAAACGAATTAGTCATGAAGTCTGGATTTGAACTCAAATCAATGTAAGCCTATCTTAATCGAACTTTTCTGTTTCCTCAACCAGCCTCATTTTCTTGCTCCCTCCACTTTGTCCTCATGTGGTAGTCCTCCTCCTCTCCAAACAATGTGACTGGAGTTAAAAGAAGTCACATCCCATTGAGTCTCAACATTTTATTCTGTTTACAATGCTTGTTCAGATATATCTAAAAAAACAAAACAAAACAAAACAAAACAAAAAAAAAACCCAAAACCGTACTTCAAATCTTCCAGATTCTCAACACCTCCCTAGCTTAGGTCTTTAGTAAGAGAACAAGATTATAAAGGATACCTGAATTCTTGGGCTTCTGTGGCTAGAAGTTTCCATTTCCCATCTGCCTGCAGATCACCCACCTCCTTTAATTGCAGAATCAGGTGACATGACCACCTAAATACTATACCTGTCAGTGGGGTGCAAAAGGGATCAAATCCCTAAAGAGGAAACGAATCAATTCTAAGCACCCACCTGCTTCTTGACATGTATATTCCCTTCCACAGGCAGATTGTAAGCACTCTGGATCAGATTTCTAGCAATGAAGTAGTAGTAGACAGAGATAATCGACAGTGGGATGATGTAGAAGACCAGGAAGGAAGCCATGGAGTGGATTTTGGGGTGCAGCTCGTTAGAGTGTGGGTATGGGGCACAGCTGATGAAGGTCTGGTTGGTGCTTTCCTCATGGAAGGGATGTAGATCAGAAAACACAGCCTCCGGGATGGCCAGAAGCATGGAGATAACCCAGATCAATGCAGCTTTGAGGCAGATCTTCATCAGAGCATGAGAGGCCTGGATATCCATTGGCCGGACGATGGCTTTGTACCTGGGTCAGGAAAAAGCGAATGTTGTGCGTAAATTGCCTAATATTATGGATACCAGGGCAGGGACTAGGGTGAGGCAAGCCAGGCACCTGGGTACAATATTTGAGGAGGTGCTCACTCCCAGGTTCATGCAAGTGCGGACTCTACTCACACAACCATGACAGCGAGTGCCTCCCTAAATCTTATACCTGAGGGACGCCTGGGTGACTCAGTGGTTGAGCGTCTACCTTTGGCTCAGGGTGTGATCCCAGAGTCCCGGGATCGAGTCCCACGTCGGGCTCCCGGTGCATGGAGCCTGCTTCTCCCTCTGCCTGTGTCTCTGCCTCTCTATGTCTCTCATGAATAAATAAATAAAATCTTTTTTAAAAAAAGTTATACGTGAGTACCTTGCCCTCCTTATCCTAGTCCTGGCTCTGAAGGATGTCACGTGCTCCTGGTTCTTCACCCACAATCTCTCTTAATTGTAAGGATACTTCTCAGAAAAGCTAAAGTGCCTTTCATTTTTCTTCTTAAGTCATAGAAGCTAATAACAAGCATGTTTAAAGATGGACATGGTGGGTGGGTGGGTGGTGCCTGTGTGGCTCAGTGGGTTAAGCATCAGATCCTTGGTTTCAGCAGATCATGATCTCAAGGTCATGGTATCAAGCCCCATGTCAGGCTCTGTGCTCAGCACAAGGTCTGCTTGAGATTTTCTCTCTCTCTCTCTCTCTCTCTCTCTCTGCCCCTCCCCCGACTCGTACTCTATCTCTCTCTAAAAGAAATAAATAAAAATCTTTTTTAAAAAAGGACACAGGGACAAGAGGGGCAAGAAGGTTAGCTTTTTAAAAAGATTTTATTTATCCATTCATGAGAGACAGAGAGAGAGAGAGAGAGGCAGAGACACCGGCAGAGGGAGAAGCAGGCTCCATGCAGGGAGCCCGATGCAGGACTCGATCCCGGGTCTCCAGGATCAGGCCCTGGGCTGAAGGCGGCGCTAAACTGCTGAGCCACCCTGGCTGCCCTGTTTGTTTGTTTTTGGCAAAGCCTTCAATTTGAGTATTCAAATGCAGTTTAGGGAACCTGAAGTCATTGAGTATTTACATTTGCCTCTTCTCTTTTCCAAAGGGTGCAGAACAAATAGCCCACTGAGAAAATTATACCAGGAGCATGCCTGTGATTGTCAAATTAGTTTTCCCCTGCCTTCCTTCTCTCCTTCAGCTTCAGCTTCTCTTGTAGTATTTGGGTCCCTCCTGGATTCTGAGCATTATGCGCCCCTGTGTTGGGCTGAGTGCTCTAGGAAGCAGACACTGAGATGAAACCAGGAGGACAAGAAGTCTATTGGGGAGTAATACCTGTGAAAGGCAAAAGGGAAGGAAGCAAGAATGGATGGAGGGGAGCTGTCACACGATGATGCAGACCTGACAAGGTTCTACACCAGTGAAAGTGACCAACCATCCTAATTTGTCTGGAGATTCCCCAACTTTAGCACTGAAGGTCCTCTATCCTAGGAAATAGCTCAGTCCCAGCAAACAGGGACAGCTAGTCACCCTCTACCAGCCTAATGGGGAGCTTGGTAACAAAGATTGACCAGCAGAGGAGTCCTGTCCTGGGTGGAAATGGCCAGGCCCTTCTATCACCAGCTGCAGGAACTGTCCAAGAAGATCATGACCGTAGCTCAAAAGCTGAAGTGGACCCTGAAGGAACCTACAGCTGGAGGCTATCAGCTCACCACAGTCCCTGCAGCTGGATAGTGAATCTTTTCTTCAAGGGAGGTCTGAGCAGAGCATCCCAATGTCTGCCACAACTCCCCGTACAACACCTAGTGCAGTGGGGTGCACACCTGTTTTGTGTGTGTACTTGTCTGAGAACCCACTAGAGGATGGGCCTCTGGTAGACAAAGAGTGTCTTCCATCTTGGCATCTGCCAGCACTGTGATCTGCACACACTGGACAAATATTTGTTCGGTTGAATGTGAGCTGCGATAGTGTGGAAGTTGATGTGAGTTGGGACCAACTAAATGTGAGGGTGTTCATCGCTGAAATGCTGTGTTAAAACTGGCTCCACCATTGATACTCTTTTATACGATGGACTTCAGTGATGGGAGAACACTTATTCCCACTTGCTTCCATGTTGATTAACTTCCACTGAATTACCACTCTTAGCTGCACCCCGATTCCTCACTCACTTTCTGCCTCCCTCCAGGGAAAGAGTGTGAGTTATTAAGAGGCGAGTTTGAGAAAAAGAACCCAGCGTGTGCACTGGGCTCAGAGAAACCTATGGTTGTCTAATTGTCCCTGACTGGGGACTAGCACATGTAATAGAGGAGATCAGGTGTTTGCAAGTTCATTATTGCTATGGACCGAAGTCACATTTTCCAAATAGCTTTACCAGGCATAGAAGAAATCATTTTTTATTGTTCTAGATTTCTTTATCTAGCTGTTCCCAGCTCAGGTAGAGAAAGGAGGGCTCTTATTTAATGGACATTCCCAGCACTCCAGCACAATGCTATAGTCCGGCTTCAGTGTACCTCAGTTTGCTTTTCCATCCATAAACTATATTAGTTCATTTTAAACAATTACTGAAAAACATAAAAATTTCGAAGGCAGTGTTATTTTCTTCTGGCACTTTCTCTACGCACTAGTTCATCTCAAACATTTTCATTTCTAGTTTCGAATGTAGGCGAGGAATTTATATCTTTAATTAAAGGTATGTGAACATATACGGCCAAAGATGTATCTCTGATAGCCAAAGCTATCTCTGATAAATCAATTACAGATAAAGTAGTAATTATGACTTTTATCTGCGTTTTCTGGCAGAGAACAGTCATAAGGACCATTAACACTCCAAGTGAAGGTGATTCACTCCTGCATGAGTGACTCACTTCTGCATGAGGCAGGAACCAGAGTGAATGGCTTACCTCCTTGTCTCTTGGGAATCTTGTACTCCTAAGTGCAAAATACCATGGGAACTGCTGAGCTGCTATTTCAAATTCACGACTTTTGAAATATAAAAGATAGTATGAAAACATTACTTTTATAGTCTTGCCAGAAAAATAATTTTAATCTAAATAAGCTTCTAGATCTATGTACCAGTTTTCAGGAAATGTGGGGATAAAAGAATCTGCTAAATGATGCCAGGAAGATTCAGTCAAATCCTGAATTGGAAAATTCTACAGGAATGACTCTATTTTTTCCCAACAAATATATGGCATAAAAAAGGAGAAAAGATATTAAAAAAAAAAAAAAAGGAGAATGGTTATAGACCTACTGAGATGTGTGACATACTAAGTGTAATGTGTAGGCTCCTTTTGGATTTTGATTCAAACCAAACAACCATAAAAAGATATTTTTGAGACTATTGAGGAAAATCAAATACATATTTAGAACTCGTGATATTAAGGAATTATTTTTAATATACTGGGTATGATTTGGTATTGTGGGTCTGTCTTTTTAAAAAGACTCTATTTATTAAAAACATGCCCTAAAATATTTATCATGAGTATATTTACAGTGAAATAATATAGTGTCCGGGAATTGCTTTTAAATATTCAGATACATTCATATATCACTTGTGCAATTAAAAAATAAGTGAAAATGCACTGCAAACAATTTTCTGTTATGGAATATTCATACAAAATCAAGGTAATTAAAGAAATCCCATTTACTAAGCTCTTGCTTTGTGCCAAGCAGAGAATTACATCTACATTATCTAATTTATGTTCCAGACAACAGATAGGTGCGATTATCCTCATTCTACAGGTGACAAACTGAAATTCAATTTCAGAGGTGGGGGCAATTAGCATGCAATTGAGGACCAACTCCTTTCAGGATATCATAGCTCTTTCAGAAAACAACTCTGGGTAAATCCTTCTTAGAAGCAGAGAAATAGGAGCACTTGGGTGGCTCAGTGGTTGAGCATCTGCCTTTGGCTCAAGTCGTGATCCCAGGGTCCTAGGATCGAGTCCTATATCAGCTCCCTGCAGGGAGCCTGCCTCTCCCTCTGCCTGTGTCTCTGCCTCTGTCTCTGTGTGTCTCATGAATAAATAAAATCTTAAAAAAAAAAAAGGGAGAGAGAGAGAAACAGACCAGAAGTTTCCTAAATATGTCTGGAACACACCAAATGTTTCCTGGAAGTCTAGTGGTTCTATAGAGCATGGAACATGTCAGTCTATTTCTTCTTCTGGTTTAGACAGCTCTCCCTGGAGCTCCCAATGCAGGGGGTTGCCACTGGGGGTTCTTGTTTAGGAGTGATGGCTAGTTGGACTGGGGTGGATACCTGATCTGAGACCAGCCAGTGAACTGCCTGGCCAGCAACTAAAGAGCTTACGCATTTAAACTGAAAAAAATGACAGGATGTAGTTAGTTGATAACAGATGCTGGAAATAAGATTTTGATGTCAAAGAAGGGATTGGGCATATTTGAACCTCGTACAAGATGAATAAGCAGAGTAGGTGGATTGAGAGAAAGAGAAAGAATGAGGCACACATACAAGAGTAAGCTGATGGGGCGCCTGAGTGGCTCAGTTGATTAAGCGTCTGACTCTTGATTTCGGCTCAGGTCATGATCGAAGGGTCATGAGATCGACCCCGTGAGATCAAACGCTGCATCGGGCTCCATGCTCAGCATGGAGTCTGCCTGAGGCTCTCTCTCTGCCCCTCTCCCCTTTCTCCCTCTCAAAAAAAAAAAAAAAAAAAAAAAAAGAGGATGAGATGATGTGGCCTTGAGTGAAACAGAGGGTCCTTGGTTCTTGGCCCACGAACTGCTTTTGAATGTACAAGAGGTCTCCTGTTACAATCTCACAGTTCTCCCTTTCCCTTTTCACTTGAGTTTGAGTGGCTTCTGTTCTTTGTCAACAAAAGAGCCTTATCTAGAATAGTTAGACGAGATGGACATTTAAAGTTATCATCAGATTTATTTCCAGCATCATTCTGCATACATCATCTCCTACTTGCTGCCCTCTGAAAGAATGAGCGATCGACTTTAATTGTACCCAAGGGACAAAGAGTCTGTGGTCTGTTCCTAAA